CTGCTAGTGCTGCTGCTGCTACTACTACTGCTGTCCAGCAGGGCAGAAGACTGCAGTGGCCGGGTGTCCAGTGCTGTTGGGCCTAGAGGGAGTGAGCCGAGCTCACCATTGTCCTTGCTGTCAGTTCCAGAGCCACCACTCACTGAAACAACATTTCCCAAACCCAGTCACACAGGGGGCAGAAAGTGGGTCATTGAAATTGGCTGGGTAGGGCTGGGGATGTGGCTCAAGCGGTAGCGCGCTCGCCTGGCACGCGTGCGGCCCGGGTTCAATCCTCAGCACCACATACAAACAAAGATGTTGTGTCTGCCGAGAACTAAAATAAATAAATATTAATAAAAAAAAAAAAAAAGAAATTGGCTGGGTAGAACCCATGGCCAGAAAGACCACAGTTCTGGCTTCCAGACTGGTTTCCAAGAATTAGGCACTGCCAGTCACTCCAGAAGAGTTAACCTGGAAACAAGTCATTGAAGGAGACACAGGCACAAGTCCTATAAGGAGGAAGACTCCTGGACAACATGGGTCCAAGAAGGGTTGCCAGAGTAGGTCAGACACTGTCAGATCTTCCCTGTTTAAAAAAGCTTATTCACTGACATGGCAAGGGGGATTAGGTGGGGACCAGGGAAAGACCAACCCTGACAGTCTAATCCAATTCTTGAGTATCGCACCCCGCAACAGAGGTATTGCTTCTCAGGCCCCAGAAGATAACCCCCTCACCAGCTGCCCATTAGGCCTCACCTGTGATTTCAGCTGCTGGACCCGTTACCCCTGGGACTTCTGTGTTGCCAGGAACATGGATGGGAGTGGTAAGCTGGGGACTACTTGGACGTGAAGTTTCCTGGGGATGAGCTAAGGTAGGCTTGGGCAGAGGTGGAGGGGTAGGAATAGCAGGTGGGCTCTGAAGCAGATCCTCAGGTGGTGGCACAGGCACAGCCACAGGTGGCGAACTCAATGCCTCTTTATTCACAAGCAGCACTTCGATGGGGCCACTCATACTCTTCAGGTGAATCTGGTACTTCTTCTGCCCATTGAGACCCTAGAGGTGGACGGTAGGGACAGGTAGAATTACAAGCAGGCACAGCTCCTGCTTGACCCTGGGTCAGGGCAACAGTGTCCTCACAACCAGGCTGCCCATCCTCCTAGATAACCCCAAACCCCAGGCCTCCCCTTACCTACCCCACCCTTGACTTATCAGACTCCACAGCCAGCACCCGCCCTCAGTTGACACCGCCTGACTGGGCTGAGTACCCACCTCTGGGATGGGCACCTCTAGGCTGGTGCCTGATGGGGCACGTATGGCCAGGAGGGTGTCTCCTAGAACGAGAATGGGTCAGCTGAGAATGGAGGTGCCTGCCCCTTGGAGCAAGGTAGGAGATCAGTCTCTAAGGAACTAAAGAACAGACCTCCACCATACCCACAGTGACTGGGCAGAGCTAAAGTGCTTCTCTCTCTAATAGTCCAGGTCAGTAACCAGGAAATATGGGTTCAAACACATTTGTGGAGTGAAAGATCATTGGCCATGGGCATCTCACTTTTCAAGTAACAATCCTGTTCCCTAGGAATGGTGTTTTGGCCAAGGCAAATGTTCCTTTCCCAGAACCAATCTGAGGAATACAAAATGGATACAGGGTAATAGCTCCTGTATCCACAATGCAATTGAATTAACCACAGGGTGGAAGTGGGGACCACTGTCCCCTGCATATGTCACCCACAAACACATATACACTCTCTTCCTTGTGCTACTGTCAAGACAARCCCAGAAGTCAGTGTTGATGGGGGCAAACCCAGGGACCCACCCCAGAATTCTTGCGTTCGCTCCATATAGCAGGCCTAATGGAGTCCCAGATACCCTCAAATGGAGGACTTACCCTGCCTGCTTCCTCCTTGGGCAGACCCCAGGGACTATCTTAAGAAATGGAACTCTCCTTGGGGACTGAGTCTGATACTCAGAGCTGTGGCTCAGCCTAGCCCTACCCCATCTCCCCCTACCCAGGCTCTGCTCACCAGCAAAGCATCTGCAGATGTCCTCATGAGTCACGTAGGCCAAGGTGTGAGGGTTAAGGAGAACAGCTGATGCCCTGCCTGTGATGTCAGATGTCAGACCACAAAGGAGACCCAACACTTTAGCAAAGGTGTGACACACACACACCCTCAGGGGAAGTTCTGGGACCTGGGTCCATGTGGGGATATCATAGGCTAGGAATGGAAGGGGAGGGGCTCTTAGAAAGGAGCCTGAAGCTAGGACCTGGCTATGAGGCTCCATCCTCCCAGGAGGGACAGGGCCCAGGACACCAAGGAACAAACCCAGCTGAACAAGGGGCCCTTTGCCCCCTCCCCCAAAGCAGGGACCGCCAGGAGGATATCAGCTGTTCTGCACGTCCTCTGTGACATTCCGGATGCTTTGTTGCACCCACACCTTGTGCTGGTCAAGTTCTTGCTCCCGCTGCTGCAGCTCCTCAATTTCTGCCTTGAGCTCAATTAGCTTGTCCGCAATCTCTCGAGTGTTGCAGCCAGGCCCCACACCCCTGAGTGGGGGAATGAGACTGAGAGGGACTGCCAGGAACTCCAAGTCCCATGGTCCCTGCTCTCTCTGGCACCCTCCACCCCATGACCCTGACACTTTTGGGTAGGTGAGCACACTGCTTTCCCAGATATCCCCACTCACTTCCACTGGATGCTGTTCTTGGATTTTTTCTCGATCAGCCCAATACCTTCCAACACGTTGGTAATGTCATAAATCCGCCGCTTCTGGCGCACAGCTAAGGTGTCAGCTGCCTGGCGGGCAGAAGAGAGTAGAGTGCTCAGCCTCACTCTCAGATGTACCCCAGCTACCTTGAGATTTGGTTTGGGTGGTCTGGGAAGGGTGTAGCCTGGGTTCCAACCCGCTGTAGTGCCTCTAGGCACTACAGGAGCTCGGGACCCCGGGGTGAGGAGACCTGGCAGAGATCTGAACTGATGTTTTGATGCTCTTTACCCCTCATCTGCCAGGGAGGGCACGAGGGCTAGCACCTGCAGCCTGGAGCCTGGCACACAGGTGACGCTCAATGGCCTCGGCTGAATGAATGAAACAGCCCCCGGCCTCTCTCCTGCGAGAAAGCACACGGATGGCGGCCAGCTCTCAGAAGACTCAGCGGGGACRTCCAAGGGTTCCCGCTACCGGCGCAGGCCTGGCCCACCATCCTGCTTCCCCTGTTGCCCCTAAGCCCGTGCCGCACCAGCTTGAGGTCAAGCACGCCGTCCTTGGCCTCCTGCAGAAGTGACACGAACTTGGTGGTGAGAAGTCCCAGGCTCTTCTCATGCCGGCTTGGAGTGCCCGGGGGCGGCGGCGCCTGTGGCCCGGCCTCCGCCATCGCGCCCGCCCGCCGCCTCCCCTCAGCCAGGCCAGGCCAGGCCGGCGCCGCCGCCACTTCCGCTTCCGTTCCTTGCCGCCGGAGCCACCGTCGCTACTTCCGCTTCCGCCTCGTGTCCTCCCAGGGAACTGGCGCAATTCCTGACTGCAAACAAGGGCGTAAAACTTCGGGGAACATCTGTAAATATTCAAGTGCCGAAGAAGACGAAAACAAGCCCTGACAAGTGGGGGAGGGATGTGGAGGAAGTCAGCGAGCAGCCCCGACAGTAGAGAATAGGGAGCCGTCGGAATCTTCCTTGCCAACCTGGCCCCAAACCATCTGCCCAGCCCTTTCAGGAGAGATTACACTGCCTGATAAGTCTAGCCTGCTCCCCAAAAACTGTTGGAAAAGGCTGCCTCACCCTCTTTCTGCCCCTTACTTCCTGCCAAGCAGCAAGCGCTAACTACATCTAGCTTGACCACTTCTCTTTATCCCTGTCCTCCTTCCATGGTCCCAGGGTCATCTTCTTTTCTGTCCACACTACAGTGCTCAGAGGTCGTGGAACTCTTTTACAACCACTTCCCTGCCAATACAAAGCTGTTTACCTATGTAAGAATACAAGTAAGACCTCAGAGCACTTCCTGGCATGTTGCAAGAATTATGTTTTTGCTGGTATGTTTTGTTTATTTGTGATAATGGAGATTGAACCCAGGGGCATTTTACCACTGAGCTATAACCCCAGCCCTTTTTATTTTTATTTTTTTAATTTTTGAGACGGAACTTTCGATCCTCCTGCCTCAGCTGAATTAGTTGGGATTATGGGAGAGCGCCATGGAACCTGACTTTTTGTTATTTTTAACATGGTTATTACTTATTACTGTTGTTATTTTAGGTCAAGTTTTCTGGGAAACAGACTTTGAAACAAGGATTTGCTGGCATCAAGTCTATTGAGGATCCACCTTGGTAAGGGAGTAAGACAAGCGGAATTATAAGTAAGATAGCTCTGAAATTAGGGTAGGCCTTCTGAGGTGTTCCAGTCTTTGTTGTTGTTGTTATTGCAGTTCCAGAGATCAAACCCAAGGCCTCATCTGTGCTAAGCTAGCACTCTACCACTGAGTTACATTTTCAGTTCAGGTACCCAGCCTTTGTACCCTAGTATTGATTCAGAGCCTTACACTTGGTAGCTGTGAAACCTCAGCAGATTACACTATGGGCAGCTGGGGAATGAGGGCCTCTGCCCTGAAGGATGGATTTGGCTGTTGCACCAAATATCCACTAAATTATTACTATCCTGTAGTCCCTTCCATGGCTCCTATCACTCACAGAATTAACACAGCCATCAGACCTCTGTCCTGCTATCACTCACTGTGCTCCCTCTTCACTACAGTCTATGACCTCTGCTGTGGAGAGGTACACAGCCTCCTCCCAGGGCACACTTTACCCTTCATCCCCGCTTGAGGCTGAATCTACTTCACGTCTTTGCTCTGAGCACTAACAGGGCTTGTCAAGACTTGATAATCACAGGGAGTAGAGCACCCCACCCCCGCCCCTCGGGAAGTGTTGCCCAGCACTCCCCACCTCAGTACAGATGCTCTTTCCTGTTGGGAATAAAATGCCAGAGACTCAGCTTCCTTCCTTTCTGCCTTGGGGAGGGAGGGGCTTCTGGCCTGGGAAGTGGAAGAGAGGCTTCCTTGGGGAGAGGAATTCTGCTGTTGTGTGCCAGAGTGGTTGGAGTCACCCAGGCCCAGTGAACAGTGAAGGGCGTGCCCAGTTCTGCCAGGGCTAGAGGGTCATTCTCAAGGTCAAGGCTGTTTGTGGAGGAGGGAGAACTGGACATCTGGTCAAGTCTGGTAAGTTTTGTACCAAACTGTCCTGGCCATCTCAGAGAAGGAACAGGGTCTTTCAGATGCCAAGTGAGGCCTGTTTCCACCCTGCCTCACTTGGCATCAGCAGGGGCACATCCCACCAACCCAACAAGTGAAGGCCTCCCAGGTGCCTCCCCCATCACACTGGCCTCCCTCTCATTTCCTGAGGGGGCTGGGCAAGAACCTCCCTTCTCTTCAGCGGAGCCTAAACAGAGGCAACAACAGCCTAAAGGAGACAAGGAGCATCCACTCTGTCTTCTCTAACCCAGATCCTCATCCTTGCTCCCACTTCATTTCCRACTCCTCCAGACCCGTGATGGACTCAGCGGCCAAGGACAAAATGAAGCCTGCACTTCCCTGTGGTATGAGCCCTGGTGGGTGGGTTGCGGAAGGGTTGATGGCAAGAAATATGGGAATGTGGGGTTTGGTCCTCCCTGCCAGGTCTRCCTGGATCTCTACAGGACAAAGAGGAGTGGATTGTCCTGGGAATGGGCTGGGGAACAGGAAGGGCAGCATGTTTGGCAGCCACAGGCCCTCCCTGACTGACATGGTTGCCCAGGCTTTTCTTGCTCAGGGCCTGAGTGGCCAGAGCAGGAGAGGGCAGAGCAGCTGGCCAGGGGTGCAGCACTCAAGTGGGCCTCAGGCATCTTCTACCGGCCAGAACAGCTGACCAGGCTGGGCCAGTACCGCAGTCGAGAGGTGCAGCGTACTTGCTCCCTAGAAGCCCGTATTAAGGTAGGCATAGGACAAGGAACAGCAGAACTAGGAGTGGGCTTTAGGGCTRCCCAGGACTCACTGGCTCTTCTCTTCACAGTCAGTGGTGCAGTCATATCTGGAAGGTGTGCAGACTGGTGTGTGGCAGCTGGCCCGTGCCCTTGAGGCTGTGCAGGGAACCCGTGAAGCCCTGAGCCAGGCCCACGAGTTGCTCAAGAGTATGGCCCAGGCTTCACAGAGCCTAAAGCCCCTTCGGGAGCAGGTTTCCCAACACAAGCAACTACAGGCCCTGTCTCAGTTGCTGCCCCGGCTGCAGGCAGGTGAGTATGCAAGGACTCTGGGCCTCAGCTTCCAATAATGAGTCCACAAATGCCCACCATTGATCAAGGGCTTGGGCTCTGATGGGAAGACTGCATGGAGAGATGCACTAGAAACCAGCCAGCAAATAAACCAGGCTTCAAATGGCATATGAGGGGCTGGAAGTGTAGCTCTGTGTAAAGCACTTGCCTAGCATGTGCTCAACCCTGGGTTCAATCCCCAACATCACAAAAATAAATAAAATTTCAAAAACAAAAACAAATGGCATGGCTGGGCATGATCATGCACACCTGTAATCCTGGTGGCTCGGCGGAAGGCTGAGGCAGGAGGATCACGAGTTCAAAGACAACCTCAGCAAAGGCRAGGTGCTAAGTAACTCAGTGAGACCCTGTCTCTAAATAAAATACAAAATAGGGCTGGGGATGTGGCTCAGTGGTTGAGTGCCCCTGAGTTCAATCCCTGGTACCCCTCCCCCCAAAAAACAACACACAAATGGCATATGAAGCAGCATGTGAAATCAGCTCATCCTGGGTTTCCCATGAATGGGAATCCAGTCAAGTGGCTGTGGCTAGCCTGAACTAATATACTGCTAACATATTGAAATAATTCTCTAATGAGGTGTATATATTTGGAGGTGAATGGCTTTCTTCTTGTTCTCTTAGCTCAAGTGTTTGTGTATGACCCACCAGGCTGCTAGGATTTTGCCTGGATCCTTTCAAATTGGTCAATACTGTACTGGTTATTAAACATTTTATATAACACTCCAGTCTCAGGGCCTCAGTATCCCTTGCTGTATCCATTGCACAGGGGGGAAGGCTGAGACCCAAATCTGTCTTCTTTCCCCCATCAGTGCCGGCTGCAATGGCCCACACGCAGACCCTGATTGATGCCCAGAGGCTCTTGGAGGCATATGTGAGCCTGCGGGAATTGGAGCAGCTGCAAGAAGAGACATGGGCACCTTTGGGGGGCCTTGAGTTGCCAGTCTTCCAGGGCCTGGGCCTTCTGGCTGAGGCACTGAGCCAGGCTGTGGAGACAGCTGCAATGGCTGCCAGGAAGCTGGCACGGGAAGATCCAGCCCTGCTGGTGGCTGCTATTCGTGTGGCAGAAGTGGAGGCTGGGCGCACAACTCCTGTGGGGCAGGCTCCCCGAGACTGGCGGCAACGCTGTCTGCGTGCACTACAGAGAGGCCTGGAGCAAGTCCACTTTTCAACAACCACACTTCCTGAACCAGGAGCCCTAGCAAGGTGGCTGGAGGCTCTGCAAGTGGCCCTGCCTGCTGAGTTGGYCACAGCAGAGGCACTAGTAGCACCCTGTTGCCCACCACACTACAAAGTGGTGCAGCTCTGGGCCCACACCCTGCACAATGGCCTGCGCCGCAGCCTGCAGCAACTCCTTGCAGGGCCTGAGCTGGGAGCTGCTGATGCCTTCGCCTTGTTGCATTGGGCACTGCACGTGTACTTGGGGTCAGTGTCCTTGGCAAGAAGTGGGAGGATTAGAGGTGGGGGAGAACTCAGTGTGACACAGAGCCACCCATCTCCAGGCAGGAAATGATGGGGAGCCTGGAGTTGGGGCCTGAGGCTGATGTTTCCCAGCTGGAGCCCCTCCTGACCTTGGAGAACATTGAACAGCTGGAGGCAACATTTGTGGCCAAAGTCCAGGTAAGTAGTTAGGGAAGAGACACTCTGCCCATCAGCTGTGGCCTTTATCTGTAGAGTTCAGAGCCTTCCTGTCTTTGGCAGGGTCACTACCCTGCTACATCCTGCCACCCTGCTGCCATTTGCTCTTCTCCTAGGCAAGTGTGGCCCAGTGGCTGCAGAAGGCACTGGATGGGGAAATAGCTGAGTGGGGCCGGGAGCAAGAGCCCAACACAGACCCATCTGGCTTCTACCACTCACCAATGCCAGCCATCGTACTGCAGGTGGGTGAGAATGGCCAGAGAGGAGGGCAGAGCTCAGGGCTCTGCTGATGGTTGCCTATTTTTGCCTATAGATCCTGGCTGAGAACATTCGTGTGACCAGCCTGGTCAGTGAGTCGCTACAGCAGCGGATGCATGGCATGGCACTGTCAGAACTGGGCGCATTCTTGAGGAGGTCTGCCAAGCATGGACCCATTCCCAATCCSCACTCTGCTCCCAGGACAGCCTAAAGGGGATTTGAGTGAATAGTATACACCAATGGGAAAGGGATCCTTCAAACAGGATTTGGAAGTCGGGCAGGAGTACCAGGCCTGGGTTTGTGGGTGTACCACAGTAGCAGAAAGTCCAGCCACATCTTTCTGTTGCAGCTTCAGTGATGCTCTAATCCGATTCTCCAGAGATCACCTCAGAGGGGAAGCCATGGCCCCTCACTATGTGCCCTACCTCCTGGCCGCCTTCAACCACCAAACAGCATTGAGGTACTAGAAGGCCCCCAAGAAAAACCACCTTCACCCACCCACACTAGGCCATTCAGAACTTTGAGCCCATAAAACTCAGGGGTTCCAATCCTAGTCTTGTTATTTACTATCTACATGACCAAGTAACCTAATATCTCTTGAGTATTGATTTTCTCATTAGTATTCTGTGGGTAATAATGGAATGGTCTCAGAATCACATGAGATATTAGATGTATAATATCTACCACAGTGCCTGGCACATAGGGCCATTATTCATCCCTTCAGCAAATATTCATCAAGGCTATACTCTGTGCCCATTAATGTCTGAGGTTACATTTGTGGACAGAAATAAGAAAAATTACCTTCCTCTTGAGTGTCGTGTTCTTTGTGATGGGGGTAGGGAGAACAGACAAATTAATGATTGAGCTGTGCTCCTCCTGATTGGGATTAGCTCCCTTCCCTTATAAACGAGGAAGCAGAAACCAAAAAAACGGACTTTCTCAAGGTCACATCGTGAATTAGAGGCAGGAACAGCTGGGCTGTGAGCTTCTTCTAGCTTCTGAGAATACCCCTCCTAGCTTGGTCAGTACCTGAGACCTTCAGAGGGGCAGGGAACCCCCTCCCGCCACACACTTGCGCCACAAGGTGGCGTAGGAGTGGCTGAACCACCGAGGCCCGTTCAGGCCTTGGCCTTGGTCCTGAAGTCGTGTTTTTGGTCCAGCTCCTCAGTGTCCAGCCTGCAACCTGACGGAGTGGCTTCAGGGATCTTGGCTCCCATAGAAGCCGCGCTGGATGAGTTGCAGAGGAGGATCTGCCGTCTGGTATTGGAGGCACTGCAAGTGGAGCTCCAGGTGAGGCTTCTTTCCCGTCGGAATAAGGATGGGAGAGATAAGGTGTACCTTTGAGATTCTCTGCAGGGATTGCCAGATCTCCAGCTCCAGTTCCTTTCATTCTTTCCCCAGCCTCTGTTTGAGTCTGTGCCCTCGCGCCGGTGGCTGTCGAGCTCTGAGTTGCTGGACTGTGTGTGCAATCAGACGTCGCGCTTCTGCCGGGATTTCTGGCGCGTGAGGAGCCCCGCGGTTAAAGTGCGTCCAGTGGAAAGGACTGGGAGGGGGCAGTCGAATGGGAGAGGCGATATAGTCCCTCTGATCACCTACCCTGCAGCTGCTGTTGGCAGAGGCAGAGCGCACCGTGGTATTGCAGTACCTACGAGCGCTGATGCAAGGCCGCCTAGTGTGCCGGGATGCAGACGAACGGACCCAAGCTGCCGAGCGTCTGCGGCACGATGCCGCCCAGCTTAAGGAGCTTTTCCTCGGTTTGGTGAGAGCTCGTTGGGAGGGCAGACGGGCAAGAGCCTCAGTGATTGGGTGGGAGCCTAGGGCGATCTGAAACCCCACTCCAATGTGCCCAGGGTCTGGAGGAGAACTCGCATTGTGCGCCGGTGCTGCTCGCCTTGAGGGAGTTGCTGAACCTGCGGGACCCCACGCTGCTTGGCCTTGAGGTGGCAGGCCTGAGGCAACAATTTCCCGAYGTGAGGTGAGGGGACGGTGTGGGGCGGGGAAGGGGGAGGAGCCAGGGAAGGGAAGTGCAGGGCCAATGCACCTCTGGTGTCTATACAGCGAGGACCATGTCTCTGCCCTTTTGGACCTGCGTGGGGACGTGTCCCGAGAGCAGCGTCAGGCTGCACTCATCTCCTTGCAGGACGGCTCGCCGCCTTCGCCCCTCACAGGCCACCGTGCACTCTTCAGCCTGGTGCCAGCGCCTACGCCCTCCTTCTCCTCGTGTCTTCCCTCGGGGCCCTGCTCTTGAAGCTCCCGTGCATGCAGAATAAAATATGAGCCACGTACGCCTGAGTCTCTATGTGCTGGGAAAGGAGAGGGATGAAATAAAAATTTCTGTGAAGTTTAGGGGGTTCATGCACACGCCTAAGATATCCTGGCTGCAGTCCTGGCAATATGGGCAGCGCCTCACCTATCCAGACATTTTCCTCTCTGTGGACTGCGTTCCGGAGTACTCGGGCTCAGGTCGGGTACACAGATTGCCCACGTATTCACCCCCAGGCAATGACTAGTACTTCCCCCTCCCTGAGTCCCGCCCCCAGCCGGGGCCTGGAAACTCTTCAAGGGGACGGGTCGACAACTACACCCCGCCCAGTGGCATGGCGTGGTGCTGGACTCAGCCCTCTCAGACCCTCTTGGTGCGCGTCGCCACAGATTGACAGGTTCCTCCCGATTTCGTGAGAGCGTGCGCACGCCGGAGAGCGTTGCGTCATCGGCGTCAGCTCCCGCGGGCTGGGCGGCGGGCGACCCGCTTTGCGGAGCAAGAACCGCGGGCGGCAAGCAGAGGAACAAACAGGTGGGGGCGCGGCACGCGGACCGAACCCCCCACCCAAACCCCAAGGCCGAGACTAGGCGCGCGGTGCGACCCTTTTGATTTACCAGAGAACCCCCCCATCCCCGCTCCATTGTCTTCTGGCCCCGCCCTCCATTGGGCACGCCCTTCGCCCATCCCCCTACCGCTTATTGGCTGCAGGTCACGCCCCTCCTGGATCTCTCGGTCCCCATTGGCTTTTCAACGTAAACCTCTAGGCGCGGGCCACACCCCTCATCTGGAACCAGACCACGCCTTCAGTAGTCAAGGGCTCCTCCCCAATCCAGCCATTCATTCTGCCTCTGGTGTTGGGTGCTTGAGACATGAGGGCGAATCAGACGGGTCCCTACCCACCGGGAGTTCGAGGGATGGTAGGAGGACAGGGACCCAAGCTCTAACAGTGACTGCTTAGGGCGGTAAAGAAACCATCAAGGCATTGGGACCCTGTAGACGCCCAGAAGGCTTCCCGGAGGAGGTGAGGCCCAAACGSAGCCCTGAAAATGGTTAAGAGTTTGTTCCAGGGAGACATTTCGGGGGCATTCTTGGCGGAAGGACCTGAAACGTGAAAGAAACAGGCGTATTCTGGTAATTGCGAGGAGGTAGGTCTAATGAAAGAAGGGAAGATGGAAGGGAATTGTCCAGGTAGCAGCCTGAAGACCAGTGTGGAGTCCAGGAAACTATTCAGTTTAGGGGATTGAAACCTGAGACCTGAAATAATCTTCAAGCAGCTGGTCACTGGACTGGGGGGGGGTGAGGAGGGGGTAGATAGGTCTAAATGAGGAAGCAAAGTGCTGGTTATTCTAATTCTGAGAAGAAGGGCTCTTGAGTTCATTCATTGAGCTCTGGGTCAGGCACTGGGTTTTAGGGATACCACTGTGAATGCTAGAAAGGTGAAAATAGGTAACTGTCAGATGTATCATAAAAATATAAAGCTTACAGCAGTACACTTTAGGTGATGATAGTGCTATGGAAAACAATAATTCCTGGCTGGGGGTGGATTGTGGTGGAGATGGGGGAGGAAGTTTATTATTTTATAGAGGTGCATTRAGGTGATTTTTTTCCAGTACTGGAGATTGAACCCAGGAATACTTTACCATTGATATACATCCCCAGCCTTTTTTATTTTTTGAGACAGGATCTTATTAAATTTTTGAGGCTGGCCTTGAACTTGTGTGTGACTGGGATTACACCTGGCTAGGGTACCTTTTCTAAGATCTTGATATTTGTGCAGAGATTTTAGGGAAGTCACTTTCTATTAGTGTCATTATATTAAGGGGGCTTTCTAGACAAAGGACATATGCAGTTTGAGATGCCTGTTAAACAAATATGTTGTATGAAAACTGGCAATACCTGTCTAAAGTTTATGCAAGAAATTTGAGCTGATGACTCATATTGAGGGCTGAGAGTGGGGGCTGGGGGTATAGTTTGGTGGTACAGGGCATGCTTAGCCCTGAGTTTGATCTCCAGCACCAAAGCAAAATAAAACAAAAAAAATGAGAGTGGATGAGATTACTTAGGGAATGAGCATAAATGGAGAAGGGAGTAGTTCCCATAGACAAGTCCTGGGCCATTATAGTGTTAAGAGTTTGGGGAGACAGGGATGATCAGCAAGGAAGACTAAGAAATAACTGCCAGTGAGATGGAAAAAGAACTAAGTTCCAGTGTATTTGGAAAGTGAAATGGACAGCAAGTTTCCAATATGAAGGGATTAACTGTGTGAAGTGCTGATGATCAATATGAAGACTGTCGATCACCTTGATTAGGTCAATTTTGATGGAGAGTGGGGGACATGTGCCTAAGTGAAGTGAACTTTAAATAACAGGAAATAAGGAATTGGAGACTGGGTAGAGATAACTCTGGGTGTTGTGCTGCAACAAGGAACAGCTGGAGGGAAATGCAGTGGTGCTGTAGATGGAGAAGTGTGGATTCAAATGCAGGTTTTGCTTTGTTTTTTAAGATGGATAAATAACAACATGTACCTATGCTGATGGAAAGAATTCAGTGGAGAGGAAGAGATTGGTGATGTAGGAGAGAAAAGAAAGGCTGGAATTGAGTCCCTGAACAGGCAAGGGTGCTCAAGGGTCTGCAGTCTCTAGTCAGTCTTTGGGATAAACTGGATTGGACTGAACCCTGGCAYAGAGTCAGGGGTGAGTGCCCTGATATTGGCTTTGGATGACCACTGGGAAGATGCATCAGGTAGGGTACAGGCCAGAGATTGACTTGGATTTGAAGTCTCCCTCTGCTTTCCCAAAAGCAGATTCTAATTTGGATATGAATAGTTGGCCCAGAAGAGAGGGCAATACAGTAGATACTGGCATAAGAGGCATTCAGGCATTCAAATTGACAGAGGCCAGGTAGGAACGAATGTGTAGGTGAAGCCATGTAGGAGAGTGGTACMAAGAAGATGCAGTAAATAGAAGGCATCCCCTGAGACCCCTCTTATCTATGGTTCATCCAGGCAGCTGAGGCTGCTCTCTGTCTACTCTGGGTGAGCGCTGAGCATAGAGATTAGAATCATGAGTAGGGACCCAGTCCTTGCCCTCTGCTCACAGGCTGAGGGAATTATAGTAAGCACCATCTAGATGGGTATGTAAAACTGTCTCTCTTGCTTTGTTCCAGCCCATGTTACTTGCATGAGCTTGCTAGAGGGAATGGACACTGGAGTGGGGGTAGGAGAACTACTACCCATACCCTTGGCAGCAGACCTTGGGCCCACCAACAGCCCAGMAAGGCCAGTGTGGAGCCTATAGGGCCTACAGCTCCTCTGACCCCACCCATTCATGCTGGTTTCCACATCCTTCTGTGTCCCCAGAGGTCAACAGTGTGGGAAGTTGGAGAGACCCAGCTGGATGTGACCTTCAGGACAGAATGGTGCTGGACTCGGGGGCTCAGGTGTATGAGCAGGCACCCCCCAGCCTTCCTGCCAGTCCTCAGTCCCTGCACCATAGGCTAAAGAGCCCAGACCGAGATGGGCCACCCCTGTACCCCTGGCCTCAGTCCCTGGCTGTGCCTCTGGCTCTGGCAGTCCCCTCAGGGCTACAGCCCCAGCCTGAGCAGCAGCCCTTCTCAAAACTGCATTTGGGCCGTGGCCACATGCGAAGGAGTGAGAGCACCTACACTGTAAACAGTGCTGGCTGTCGAGGGCGTGGCACCCGGGGACCAGCCCCTCCTGGACAGGGACGAGGTGCAGGTAGGGGTACCCTGCGGGCTGCAGCCTCTCTGCCTCACATTGCTAAGACTCGAAGGGATGCAAGTGGTGGTACCAAGAGCCCCTGTATGTTGGTGGCACTGCGGCCAACCAACATGGACCGTGAGAAGGACAAGTTCTTCCAGTCCCATTACACCTACAACCCACAGTTCGAGTACCAGGAGCCCATGCCCACCACTGTGCTGGAGAAGTACTGTGAGGCCTCTGGACAGTTCATCCATCAGGTCAGTCCACCCTGCCTACCTTACYCTGTCCCTGACAACTCAAGGGACCTAGCCTGACAAGCTACTGTGGCCCTGTGTGCAGGCAGTTGGAATCATTGAGGCTGTTCTGGAGAAGTTTGGCACCTATGAACACTTTGAGGCTGCCACCGGGGGCCAGCTGCTGACTAAGTGCCAGATTTGGTCCATTGTGCGCAAATACATGCAGAAAGAGGGCTGCGTTGGAGAGGTGAGCTTTCCTGCCTACACAGCCCCTAATATGCCCCATATCAGTCTGTCTGGCAGGTGGTCCCAGGCCCAGCTTCACACCTGGCCAGCAGGTGATCTGAGACAAATCCCTGTTCTTGCCTCAGGGAGGTGGGAGGTAGCTCTGAGTAGAAGTGGTAAAGGGTGAGTGCCCTGAACAGTGTCTAGTTTGGCTGCCCTTGGCATTGATGGGTCCACCTACACATCGACCCCAAGGCTAGTAACCATGGCTCAGTACACTGCCATCTGCAGGTTGTGGTGCAGCTGAGTGAGGACTTGCTGTCTCAGGCTGTGATGATGGTGGAGAACAGCCGACCCACACTGGCCATCAACCTGACTGGAGCTCGCCAATACTGGTTGGAGGGCATGCTTCGCCATGAGATAGGTCAGGCTGGGGGTCATGGGTAGGGGGGTAGAGGGGTGGAGATGAGAAAGGGCTGAAATCTGGGGAGTGGGCAGTGAGGGGCCCCAGTAACCCCCTCCTTTGTTTCTCCCTCTTCCCTCTGGAGGAGGACAGGCCCTTGCCCTTCCTGAACAGCTGCCTCCTCCCTCTCGCTCACAGAGGTAGGCCAGAACACACCTGCCCAMTCTCCGGATTTACCCTAATCTCTTGTTCCTTTGGGGGATGTCTTTTTCTTTCTCTGATTTCCTTTGACAGTGGGGCAAGGCTGCTGAGGCTCTGACAGGCCAGAGGGAGAACCCTGAGGGTCCCACCAGCCCAGCCAACTGGCAGGCCCTCTAGGGTGGGTGGTAGGCCAGATCCTAGAAATAGAATTGTTTGAGGTCACACAGAGTATAATTTAGGAGCAGGCAGACCAGGCTGGGAAGGAGGGCACAGGACACTAATCACTATTCCTTTCTGTCTTTCCTTCCTCATAAAGAATCCTATTGTCCTGGGCAAGAAATGGTTTTGCTGGGGGAATCAATGTGATTATCTAGTGATTGATGAGGGCATGCAAGATATTGGGGCTGGGTGGTGTGTGTGTGTTCCTTCTCTCTAGGAAAGCTGGAGGAAGCAGGGGTGGGGTGGGGGTGGAGGGACAATAAGAGTTGGGATAGGGACGAGGAGAGAGAGAATAAGAGAATATACTGAAATGGGTGGAGGAATATTCATGCATGAGTCTGAATCTGTATGAGCCTTTGGGTGCAGGTTCTTCTTTGGAGGGTCTTCACCGCAGCTTGGGGTTTGGTGAGTATGTGTTTGTCTGGGGCTGGGACAGCCTGAGTTTGGGGGCGTGAAGATACTAGAGTCGCCACTAGAGGTCCGCAGGGTGGATTCTCCAGACACCCCGCCCAGCGCAGCCTCCCCCTCGCCCTCTCCGCAGGCACTCACTATCTGAGGGGTGTGAACAATGCACAGCAACCGTGGCACAGCGCCGAGGGCCGGTTGCAGTATGGGCTGCGGCCAGCCAACCCYACGGAGGAGGGTCTGGCCAGCCTGCACAGCGTGCTGTTTCGCAAGCAGCCATTCTTGTGGCGCGCAGCTCTGCTCTACTACACCATCCATCGCGCCGCGCGCATGTCCTTCCGCCAGCTCTTCCAGGACCTGGCGCGCTACGTGCAGGACGCTGACGTTCGCTGGGAGTACTGCGTGCGCGCCAAGCGTGGCCAGACCGACACTTCCAAGCCTGGTGGGCAGGACGCAGGGTATTGACCTGGGCGGAGGYGAGGGTTGGGGCTCCACCTCAAGAACTCACTGGCTCCTGCACTCACAGGCTGCTTCAGCAAGGACCAGGTGTACCTGGACGGCATCGTGCGTATTCTGCGGCATCGCCAAACCATTGATTTCCCACTGCTGACCTCGCTGGGCAAGGTGACTGACTGGGTTCCCGGTCTGCCCTCCCACTTTCTGCAATATTCCTTGCACCTCTGATTCTTGCTGGACCTGAGATCTGAGTGTCCGACCTCTCTGGTGCGGGAAGCATGGATGGGGTTGAGCAGAGGAGATGAAATGACTTTCTAGTCATTTCATTTCATTTCATTTCATTTCAATTCAATCAAAAGTAGGTACTTGACCCAGCTTATAGGGGTGTGTAGGTGCAGCATTTCAAAGGAGGTGAGCATTCCAGGCTAAGGGAATAATTAGGAAGGCCTGGGGAAGGAGGCTGGACAAATGGCCAGGGACCACCAAGTCTCTGGTGCTGGGCCTTTGTGCCAGGCAGAGAAGAGTGGATCTCATTTGAAGCAGTGGGGAGCTGGAGGAGCTTTAAGCAGAAAATATGGTGCAGTTATTTGCTTTCGAAGGCTCCCTCTGGAGTTATATGGCAGGGGAACTGAAAAGAGAGTCTTAGGGAAGAAAGTATGCTGGCAAGAAGACGAGGCTGTCCTGTCACTCTTACAGATTGATGGTGATGGCCTTCCCAGGCAGTGGTCATRTATTTAGAGAGGAAGAGTCAAGCTGGAGAGCTCTTTGGAAAGTGGATATTCCTTTATCTCAGTGGCTGCCCTGAGTGGGAGGGTGAGAGTCCAAGCATCCTCCCTGGAACCTGACCTGGGTGACTGAAGAGTTGGGCTGGTACCCAGATGTTGACTATGAGGAGGTGCCTTAGAGATATTCAGGGGAAGGTGTTCAGGAGGCATTTGGATACCTATATCAGAAGATAGGAGATAGGCTAGGCTGGAACCAGGAGTGGGTCATAGGGCAGAGATAAAAGAAAATGTTGAGAGAAAGAACAGAGACCCAGGTCTGAGCCTAGAGGTACATAGCATGGGCATGGGACTGTGGGTGTGGTAGGCTGATGGGAAGAAGGAGCCCTGGGAGCAAATGGCCATGAGCCATCAGCAGAGCTGGGACCACCTGTCTAAAAGCCAGGAGCTCTGTCTAGCTCTGAAGCTCAGCTTCCTCCCTGCAGGTCTCCTATGAGGATGTGGATCACCTACGGCCCCATGGGGTGCTGGATAATACCCGAGTGCCCCACTTCATGCAGGACTTGGAACGCTATCGGCAGCAGCTGGAGCACATCATGGCAACCAATCGCCTGGATGAAGCAGAGCTGGGCCGCCTGCTGCCTGATTGATGTTTATTGAGGGCTATCAGCAGAAGTCCTATGCAGAGGCCTCCAGATCAGCCCCCAGAATATGAAGCTGATTACTCTGTGCTTCTACAGCCTGGGTGTTTCTTGGGGGCATTGGGAGGCCAGGAGCATTCTGGAAGAACAGGCAGCAGCATCAGAGGTTTTTGTCCCTTGATAGTCTTCCTGGTGCCTGTGGACCAGGCAGCATTTCTAGCAAATTGTTGAGCAGAGGGGAGGCCTGGGGACAGGAGGGGGGGTGTTGAGTGTTAATGGGAATAAGGGGTGGTTTGGGAGTAGAAACTTGTTTTTGCATGAGATGCTTTGGGTGTCCAATATTCCAGTCTGTCCCTTCCCCCACCTTGCCCCTTGGTGCTCCTTCAGCATTCCTGCTGTCTACCTCTTACTGGGTCCTGGTGGGGGTTGGGATCCCTTCTTCTGGGGTGATTGCCTGCGCCTGGGGTCTTGGCTTTCACACATGCTCACAGGGCAGGGGTCCTGATGGTATAGACCCAGCTGGGCTGGGGTTTGCTTTCCAGAATTTTTGCCTCTTTTACTGGTCATGTGTTTATTCAATACTTTTGTGTTCTACTGCCTGGAGCTTGGAGGTAACAGTGGAGGGACAGGACACTACTGGAAGGTACCTTCATTATACACACATGGGCACATACATGCTGGGCTTCAGGTCTTGTGCATCGAGCCCAAAAGCTCACCTGACCCCTGCACTGGCCTCTGCTCTTCCTGTCTTTCCCCACACCCTCCCAGTTGGTCTTAGGCAAGAGTTGGCATAGCCTGGGAGCAGCCACCCTTAAGCCTGAAGGGCAGGCCCATTAGGTTTATTTTCCTGGGCCAGGAGAAATACACAGCTGATTGTTGCTTAGACTCAGCTACGTGAGGTTGACCCAGTCCCATTCCTATCCCGGGCCTTAGTTTTCCCATCTATAAAACTTGGAAACACAGCTGGAGAGTTCTTATTCATTTAGTCAACACATATGTGCCAGTTACTGGTTAAAATTCTCACTGAACTCCCAGTTCAGAGGGAAGCCAGACAATTAAAACGGCAATTAAAATTACACGTGTGGCCTCTGTCTACTTAAGGTCCTTCTAATTCCCCTCTAATTTCAATTTCCAAGGCTGTGAACTCTTGAGCCCTCCCTAGATAGTCAGAGTCCTCTTCCCTTGCTTTCTGCCCCAAGCCCAGTTTCTTCCACAGAATGGGGCTAGTGTCTAAAAAGTTCCCCAAATGGCTCATGAAGGGAAAAGAACAGGTTTCAGGTCATCCTACTATATGGTCCTAGCTCTGAGATCACCTGCAGCATGGGCTGTTGTGTGTGGAATGGGATTGTGAACTAGATGTTGGAGTGTTGTGGGGGCACCAGAATGTTCAGGTTCTTAGAGACATAAACCACCTAAAAAAAAAAATGCCTAGGTTAGCTGGAGTTTATTCACTTCCAATAAGACAAGATGATGGAGCTTTGGTGGCACTGGATCCCGCTCCAGCATAATCCCAGGTTCTATCTTCCTTGGGCTTGGGCAGGAAATGTCAGGTCAGTATTCTGGCCTTCAGGTAGTCTGGCCTTCAGGAATCTAGAAAGGAAGAGACAATAGTCAACTTCCTGAGCTATGCCCTCTGCTAAACCACTACAGAGTTTGCAAGGCCTCACACCTTCAGACTCATCCCCCTCCTCGAAGTCAGGCTCAGGCTCTGGTTCTGGATCTGCCTCCGGCTCTGGTTCTGGATCTTCCTTCAGTGGTTCTGGATCCATTTGGGGTTCTGGTTCTGGCTCAGCCCCTTCAGAGGCCTCAGCTTCCTGCTCTGGCTCCTCTGGTGTTCCGGATTGCACTGCTTCAGAGCCCTCAGGACCTCCTGCCTCATAGTGATCTGAAACTCTGGGCAGCCCGGGACACACTGTCCCCGAACTGGGTGCCTCGGGCGTCCAGTGGCCTGGGCATGGAGGGTCATAGCTGCGGTCCCGGTAGCCTGCGGCGGAAGTGGGAGGGTCTTTCAGGCTCAAGTTATCTTTCTGCAATCCTTAGTACACACACTTACCTACTTTTGGGGGATACCACGACACCAACCCTCTGTTAGCCTTTGCTTGGCTCCCAAGCCACGCCCCTGGTCTACGTGCGCTCACCAGGGCCCACGTGCTGCCAGTCCCAGGCTGGGTCTGGCGCGCGCAAGGTTTGCTGGGCGCAACGCAGCAGCTCCTGGCAGGCGGCCTCGCCCTTGCTCTGCACCACCAGCAGCAGGCGGCGCACCCTGCGCTCAGCATCAGGCAGTGCATCCAGTGCCTCATACTCCGGCCCGGTGAGCACTCCCCGTGCTACCAGCGCGTCCAGCAGTAGTCCCGAGTCCGCCTGCAGCGTTTCCACCAGGCGTTTCCGCTCACGGTCAATGGTCTCCGAAGGCCGCTCCTGCGAGTTGCCCATGGTCCGGGCTGCACACAGAGGGGGAGAGAAGTAGTGGGCACCGGGGGTCCTCCATTCCTGACCTCTCTTCCAGGATCCCAGTGAACATCCCTGGCTGTGGTCTAATTCACCTTGACCTCAGCGGCCAGATGGCTCCGCAGCACAGGACTCGGGCACCACCGTACTGAACTCTTCTCCCGCCTCTTGCCTGCAGCTTCTCTCCAGTCTTCTAAGGCTCCTCCCCTCTCTAAACGTCAGTTTTAGGCTCTCCCAATCAGAGCCTCCCTTCTGAGCCCCAGCCGCCTGCAGATCCGACAGTAAGAACCCAGTTTATCCAAACAAACCTCCGTCGCCGCCCCCGTCCCCGTACTGGGGGTTGAGCCCTGGGGTGCTTTACCACTGAGCTTCATCCTTAGCTCTTTTTAGTTTGAAACAAGGTCTCCTAAGACCCTTATTAAATTGCTGAATCTGGCCTCGAATTTGGAATCCTTCTGCCTTAGCCTTATGAGTTGCTGGGATTTCAGGCATTTGCCACCACTTCTTGGTCTTTCTCCAGTCTGCTTCCCCATCTCAATAGGAGAAAAACCTAGGATAGACCCAAGGTTACAGCTTGCAGTCAAGTCCTTTCCAGTCTGACAAATATTTCTCTTACCATTCTCACTTCTGAGTCTAGTCTTTTACCTCCTGCCTGGACCCTGCAGAACCCCTGGATCAGGATTCCCTGTTTACACAATCTGTCCTCCAGTACCCTCTGCACAAACTGTTGAGAGCCTGCCCTGCTCCTCTTTCAACTTGCCAGGACAGGCCCTGATCCTCTACCCTCACCATCACCACCCAGTTCTAACCCCAACATGATCTCATGGCCCTTCTTGGTTCCCAGGTACCTAGCAGGGATACYTGAATCTTCCTGAATCCTACCTCTGACCAAGATCTCCTAACATCACCCAAGACCCAGTTGACTCCCTGCTGGCCTGGGAATGACAGTCATCTCTTGTTTGATCTTAAAATACTGAGGGCCCAGCTCATGAAAGGTTGCTAAACTTTTTCTTCCCATTTTGAGACTGTTTCTACCAAACTGTAGGGACTAGGTAGAAATCAATCTGCTTTGTCTATTTATTACCAAGCAAGGACAACAGCCCATCTCTTTGCCAGCCTTAGCAAGGCCCCTGACATTAGACAAAGGGGTCAGGCCCTGGACCCCTCCCACCCTCTGCCCCTTTCCCTGCCTTGGCTTTATTTACACAGCATCCTTCCTGGTCTCTTCTTCCCATGTAGTGTTTTCCCTCCTTTCCTGGTCTATAGAGTCTTAGTCCCCATTTTGCCTCCCAGGTCTCTTTCAGAACCCCTTAGTGTCAAGATGTGCTTCCTTTGGTCACTGCACATTCCAGCCACCTCTCCCTCCACTCTTGTGTGTGTGTGTGTGTGTGTGTGTGTGTGTGTGTGTGGTGCTGGGGATTGAACCCAGGGCTTTGTGTATGTGAGGCAAGCACTCTACCAACTGAGCTATATCCCAAGCTCCTCTCCCTCCCCTCTTATCAAATTGTCAGCCTATCCCCCAGATTCAAGCACAGGTCAGAACTACCCTTGACCCTCCATCTCCCTTCATGTCTCATCTGTGACAAATGTATCTCAGTGTTTCCATCAGCTCCTTCCTGTCAACCCCACCATTCACTTCATCTCCTGTAACAGTTCCTCTGAGTACTTCTCATTCTAATTCCACCATCCCTCAGCATAGTGACTTTGACAACTCTCTGGGGTAGGATTTATTGTTCCAATTTTACAGCTGAGGAGATAGACTCAGAGAAGCAAAATAGAATTAGATTCTGACTTGCTCCAATCTGAACTATACCAAGGTCTCCTGTCAAGCAGAATGTCAGGCTTTACCCCTTATTCCTGCCCCTACTGCTTATCTTAGCTATCTGGTCTGGTTATTCTAGCTACCACTCACCACTCAGAACAGTGAGGCTCTTCTCTACTTCTCCCCACCACTCTGTTCTGGGAAAACTCACTATGTTCCTGGTATCTCTGAGTCTTTGCTGATGCTGCTCCCTAGGCCTGAAATACCATTCCCTCCCTCCACTCATGGACCCATCCTCCAACATTCAAATATTCTCTTGTCCACCCCAATGCCAGAGTGTTCAAGGGCAGATGGTTCCTTCTGTGCACTCCAGTGACCAGCATATCACCTCACTACTTCATTAACTGACATCACTGCACTATGTACACAGAGATCCTCTGTTCTCCTGGACTGAGGCTTCCAAAGACTGTCCCCCTTTGCAGGGCACGGAAGACAGAGGGGGCCAGCACCTACTCTAGCCAGACATAGAGAGAAAGGCTGTAGACCTGACTGGCCCCTCCTTCTCCCTCCGGCTTCCTAGGTTGTTTTTACGTTAGTCGCCTTCTCCTGTTAACCCAAGCCCTGACTTTAGTCCTGCCTGGGGAGCAGAGACCCCGGCTGTTCTGGACCCTCCCTTTGAAACTTTCATAGCTCGAAGGTGAACATCGAAGTTATGTCGCCGCTAGTTCTCTCAAGTGACAGGCCCAGATGTTTCCCGGAGCTCCAGGTAGCGAAGCGTGGATTTGGGTGAGGCCCCCAATCCCCAGCTGGCGGTGAGGGTTCAGTTGCAGCCGAGCTCCGAGGGTCGTGGAAACTGCGAAGCCGTTGCGCATGCGCGACCG